GCTATTACCAAATAGTGGGTTGGACTATTATTAAGTCCAAGGACCATGTGCTGAAATTTTGAATACCAAAGATTTGGGGACACCTGGCCAAAAAGACCTCTGGGACCACTCCTCCCATGTGCTCCAAAGCAATGGCTAGTCCCAAGAGCAGCTTGCACTACATTAAAGATGTCAGGGCGACTGCAGCCCCCTTTCTCCTAGTTTCTGCCCAGGAGAGCTCGGTGAGTAGGGATACTCACTAGGAATGTCTTAGATGAAGGACATGTTGTTGAGGGTATAAGAATGATTGTTGGTGCGATTGCTATAGGCTGTAACTATTCCCCTTAATCCTCCCCTCTCTCTGTTAGTCCTTACTTGGAGTCTGTCCACAATGGGAAAAGGAATCTGAAATCTTTTCTAGTATGGAATACAACCATGAAGTTTGCTGACTGAGAGCTGTTTTGGGGGAAAAAAATCAACTTTGGCCATTTTGAGATGATTTGATGTGCTTGGTAATGGCCTTAATAATGGTCAATAATAGGCATCACCAGAGAAGATTTTAAGTGGCATGAAAGGAGTAAAACAAACAAAAAGCTTCCAATTCACAAATGTCAGTTATATCTAGACAATTGGGCATCGGTCAGGCAGGAGAGACGGGGGCAACATTCCCCGGAGAGTTTGTCAACTATATTCTCAGACCTTCTTGTGGCTTATAATGTGACCACACCTGAACTTTATGTTTTCTGAGATATATTAATTTCTTGATAATGTCTCACAATTACTAGCTTATCAAAGACAATTCCAAACTTCCCATTCATCCTATGCAGCAGGGGTTCCCAGCCCTGGCTTTATATTGGGATCACTTAGGGAGCTTTACAAATTCCCGAGGCCCAGGCAGCACTCCAGGTCAATGAAACCAGAATCTCTGAAGGTGAGACACAGGCAGCAGGAGTGCAAAAAGCTGCCCAGGAGATTCCAAACTACAGACAAAGTTGAGAACCACTGCTATAGAGGATTCAGGGACAGTACAAACGGGGAGCCAGTGAGATAGATAGAATGTCCCACAAAATCTGAGTGTGGAAGGATTAAGGGGATGGAGATTGACAGAGTTAACGGGTTTCAATAGCTGCGGCTAAGGCCCATTAGTCCCTGACAAACGATCAGCAGAGGCACAGTTTCCTTAAACTATATATTGATTGGATTTTGGACAGTTTGCCATTAATCTAAGTTTCATGACTGAAATTGACCAAAATATTATCGATTAACCTCAGGGGTCTTAAGAAGAGCCCTCTCTCCCCTAGCTCTACCAGGCTCAGGGTTGGTTGGACATTGGGTTCTGAGATAAGTCCTAGGAGTATGGTCCAGAAGAGGGAAGAAGCCCACAACATACCTTTGACTGTTATATGGAAAGTTACATTCAAGCGGGTGGTCTACAGAGTGGACTGGCTCTGGGTTGGTGCTTCGTCTTTGCACTGGATCCTTTACCTCATGAGGAGGAACAAGGTGGAAGCCCTAAAGCAATGGTTCTTAAACTTATGTGACTATCAGAATCACCTGCAGGGTTGGTTAAACCACAGATTGCTGTGTTTCATTCCCAGAGTTTCTGATTCAGTAGGTTTGTGGTAAAACCCAAGAATTCGCATTTCTAACATGTTCTAAGATATTACTACAATACTACTATGGAACCACACTTTGAGAACCACTGCTTCAAAGCATAAAACCCAGGACAGGACAAGCTCTAGAAGAGGTACATCAGACTTTATTAGGATTCCTTTGTGCCCTGTAAGAAGGAACAGAATATGATCCTGAAATGAGCTGAGATTTATTTCCATGCATTTATCAAAAGTGTGAGAGCTGATTTCTCTTTAAGTGATTACTCTATGAAAACAGACAGGGTTTTAAAAATAGATATGCATTTGGGTTGCTTGTCCCAATGCCTTGCATTAGAAATTTGTAATATTTAAATTGGATTTAATTTTAGAGCCTCAACCTTCATTAGCATGAGACTAAAAACAATGACAACAATATCTACAAAAATCTTTTAGAGTTTCATTATTGTGGACAGAGAATTTCTCTCTGCAGTAATAAACTGCTTATATCAACACAGAATAAGACAAGGCCAAAGGCATAGGAAATGCTGGACACAATTTCAAATATAGCAATCAGATATCCAGATGAGATTGGCAGGAGACCCTGACCCTGGCATGCACCAAGGTGACTTGGTCCAGAAATTGCAGATACTGGGCCAGGGAATCTATTGTGGTTGGCTTACAGTAGACACCCTAAGAATGCAGATCTTCCTAGGAATTGTGGAATTTTTTATTTAAACCAAACGTCCCTCTTCTTCTAGTCATCCAGATTGGAGGCCATCCTAGCTTGTAGTAGAATATCCAGAATATTTCCAGAGAAAGTCACTATTCCTTCTCTGGTTGCTCTACTGATTAAAAGCGGAGGCTTTTTGTGTCCTATAGGAAGAAGTTCAGTAGGCAGGCCCCAGAAGGGTACTGCAAGTCTCTTAGCACCTTCTGATGTGTAAGGCCCATTCTATACTCCTCTCCTCTCCCCTACTCTTGCAATGCCATGATGGACCTCCGCCCAGTTCTTGAACTCTGGGACCTTTCCTTCCCTTCTTCCCTAATGAGCTCTTATTCATCCTTAAGAACCCTGCTCAGATGTTATCTCCTCTATGAATATGTCTCTAACCAGTCTGGCCAGATAAAACCAATTTCTCCTTCCACTGTGTTTCCATATAATGTCACATATACATCATACTTACCGCACTGTACTTTAAATGTTTGTTTATATGCGTGCCTTTTCCTATCTCTAGATTACTTGCTCTAGGAAGTTAAGTATTATGTCTTATTCTTTGCATCCCTAGCACCTGACACCTAACACAGTGGCCAGCACAAGACCTGCAAGTTTAAGTGTTTAATCAATGAAATAAATGAATCCCAATTTTGGGGTGAGAGAAAGCAGTACTTAAGCATCTAGTAGCAATGCAGCCTGGAAAACATTCAAAGTCATGGAATCTCAGATAATCAGAGCCAAAGGGGACCTTAGCTCTCATCTGTGCCAGCTTCTCATCCTATAGAGGAGAAAGCTCAGAGATGAACTGAATCTCCTTCTATAGAGGAGAAAGCTCAGAGTGAACTGAATCAGAATGCAGGTGTATGGGTTCCAGCCTGCAACCTTTCAGGTTTAGCCAAACACCCAGATGAAGGGTTTATGGACTAGATGAAACCGTCTTCCCATGACTAATGGGACCAGATAATGTCCACCTCTTACCCTGGGGACATGCCATTCTCCCTCTCCCAGGCTAGGTCCAACTCGGGGAGAGCATGAAAATGTTCTTCGTCACAGAATGTAACCTTTTAAAGAGTGTCTGAGTACGCATTTTCATCACTAGCCTTCAACCCCAATTGAGTATTGAAAGATTTTTCTGGTTCTTTCTGGGGCAAGAAGACTATTTTGAGCAGGATGGGAAAGGAAGAAGAATGGAGACATCCCAGGGCTTAATTTCATGATTTCTAGTGGCTTGAAGACCACTTCAGAGGCCCTTGCTACCTCCCCTGTTCTCCAGCTCCTCTTCGTGGTTGGAGTTTGGGGAGCCGTGGTGGCTTCTCTGACATTTGCTTTCATAGCACAAGCTGAGACGGAGTTGGATGAAGATATGTGGTGGGGATCCACACTGGACAAAGATACCACAGGGAGGGGAATTTTTTGGAGTTGAAAAGAGAATATGGACAGCAAGGTTAAGATGTCATTCTAGAACTTTATTGGGAGGGCTTCTCCACCCTACAACAAATTCTGTCATAGACATTCATTCATTTACCCATAAATATCACTCTCCTGTTCAAAGCCCTCCACTCCCTTCCTAATGTCCTGAGGATAAAACCATAACTCCGTGCTGTGTCTCTGTAGACCTGGCTCTTTCTGGCTCTCCAGCTCGTTTTCTAGGTCTCATTCCTTCATGCTCAGAACCTTTGTCTTGTTTCTATCTCAGGGCCTTTGCACTTGTTCCTGCTGCCTGGAATGTTCTCTCCCTCATTCCTTCTCGTCCTCCAGGTCTCAGCTTGAAGGCCGTCTCCTCAGAGGACTCCTCGCTGAAGGTCCCGTCTACAGTGGCCCCTCGATACCTCCTGTAGTTTCCCTCTATCATCAGACCCTGTAATTGCCTTCATGGCATATAACGAATCTGGAGATATCTTGCTTATTTACACAAGACTGTAAGCCCCCTGAGAGCAGAGGCCTTGTTTGTCTTATTTACTGCTGCTCGACACCAAAAACAGTGCTTGGCACATAGTCGGTGCCCAGAAAATATTGTGAATGAATGAAGCGCCTACATAGATTAGGTAATAGAGGTGAGAGGAGAATAGAAAGCTTACATTGTTTCTAGAAACTACAGCCTAAAATTGATTTTTTAAAATTGTATCAGCTCCATAGCTTCCAATTCTAAAACCTGCTTTTCATTGTGGTACTCTGAGATTCCTGTCTGATTCTGTGAGAGCTCCATGCTGTCTCTCAAATGGTCAGTCTGTCTTATTCGTCACCATTACTCATCTGCATTTTTATCAAAGCACCAACTTGCCCTGGATTGTCAGAGATTTTGCATCTGTATAATGTATTTTAGGCTGGTTCAGAGTTGGATCTACTACGTCTGCACGTGTCAGGTACTGAACAATTTCCATTTTGATTCCAGATTAGGGATCTGCTGGGGCAAGACTTTGGCATGTGTCTAGAAACACCTGCACTAGGTGCAAGATCAGCCATGGATGGTGTCCAGGCTGAAACGAAAAGGTATGGCGCAAGAGTGAGAGGCAAGTGCCACTACGGGACCATGAGAGGCCAGGCCCCAGTAAATTTTGGTAGCCAAATTCTAGCTCCTTCCTGGGCCTTGATGCTGGTAAAATCCCAGAACTCAAGGAAATGGAATTTGTCCTATTGGCACATGCCTCCCCACTGTGTAGGGCACAGGGAATGTGGTGAGGTACCAGTCTAATGCCAGCTCTCCCCCTCCACAGAGTTTTGGTCAGTGGTCGTGCAGTCCAAGGGGCTGGATGGCATGCTGGACCCAAGCTCAGCTCAGCGTCCGGACCCAATAACAGTTTTACCAAGGGAGCAGCTTTCTATCCTGGCCACACTGAGGTAAGTGCCTAAGGGGCCTTGGCCTTGCCAAGGTCCTGCCTCTGCAGCTGCCAGAAGCACGGGTCCCAAGTGATAGAACCTGAGAGGGCAAGTCAGATTGAACTGCTGAGCAGCAAGGGCCTGGAGAAGCTCTCAGTGATGCAGCAAATGCAGCCTGCCTAGCCCAGGAGAGGAAATCTTTTGTGCCCTCAGGTTGGCCCCATGGCCCCTAGGGACATATCAGGAGTCTGAGCTGCATCAAGGGTCTAGAGTCACCAAACACAGGACCTCGAATAGCCAGTGTCAATCAGACCCTCCACACAACTCTCTGGTCCGACTGAGCAGGGAGCTTGTGAAATGGAAGGTTCACAGCCACTTTTTGTGCCCTTGGCTAGTGGAGTGGAGGGGTGTGGAAGAGTTCCAGATCTGTACACAGGAGGTCTGGCTCTGAGTTCCATTTCTGTTTGGCGTGTACCTGTGATGCAATTACTTAATCTTACTACATCTCTGGCTTCTCATTGTTAAAATAGGAATGATATGGCCAACCTCCCAGGTTTGTGTAATGGTTAATTAGAAAATTATACCCAATAAATAATAATTATTACTATCTCAGCTCATTCATGTCAAGGTATGTCTCTAAGAATTCAGATCAGTTGATTTGGTTCCCATTCATGTATCCAGCACACCTGCCCTCCAAGAACCCAATGACCCCACAGGTGCCGGTACCTGCTAGTGCTTTCTGGTTGCATATTTCTATCATGGGCATTTTAAGAGCTTTTGGATAAAGTCTATATGGTGCCCAGAAATCCAACAAAGCAGATATGAAACAATTCAATATCTAAATATTCCCTAATATCTGCATTTGTGGCATCAGGAAGGTAAAACTTATAATCTGTTGAATGGAATTTTCATTTCGATGTTGGGGGATGAGTAAACTCGCCCCAGCACCTATCAGTTACAGTGTGCATATGGCTTCAGGCCTCTCTTCTCTAAAAGATAGCAAGGCTGAGCTCAAGTCAGGTGTCCACAGACTGGCCCTGCCACTCACTGGCTGCAAAAGCCCAAGTCACTTAGCCTCTTCAAGGCTCATTTTCGTCTTCTACAAAGTTAAAGAATTAGGCTAGACTTGTGGCTCTCAAAATGTGGTCCCCAGACCAACTGCATCAGCATCATCTGGAAACTTATTAGAAATGTAGATTCTTAGTGTCCTCCTACCAGAGCTACAGAATCGAGCGTTCTGGAGATGGGGCACAGCAGTCTGTAGTGTAACAAACTCTCCAGGTGATTCTGATGCCCTGAAGTTTGAGAGCCTCTGGACTTGAATCTCTGATGTACCTTCCAAGCCATGCCTCCTCCCAATAAATCCTGTCTGGGAGATACTAACGGAGGCTCTGGATTTTACTCTGTCGATGCCTCTCTCTGTTCAGCCCAGCCCAGGACACCTCTGAAGTACCTTGCTGGGGAAATGAGAAGTCACAGAATTCCTCTCACTCCGACCCCCAAGAGCATTCGAGCCTTTACAACTGAAGACAGCAGCCAGTTAACATTTAGAGTGAAGGTCAAGCGTAAAACAAGAAACGACCCTTGACCCACTCTCGGAATGTGGCGAATGAGATGGAGGAGGAGGAGGCTGGATTTCCTTGGCCACAAGAATTTCATCTCTCGCCAACTGTTAGTGACCCGGGTTCACGTATACCATCTCTAGCCCAAGAATCGCTGGCAGCTCTTGGCATGGCTCTCTCCAAGGCAGGAATTCTCTCACTCCCTTCTACAACACATCTCCCCAGGCACGGTTGCCAAGCCTCCCAGTGCTGTCAGCCCTCCTAACCACAAATATTTGGGCCAGTTGCTTAGCTCTGTCCAGCAGCTCCATCACCTATTCAGGTGAGGCCAGAATCTTTGAAGATCATTCACCTAGTGCAAGAAATGTATCCTATTACTGGAGTGTGTGAACCACTGGAAATCCACAGAATGTACCGCTGGTTCAGAAGAGGGCAAAAGAGGGGGGCACCCCATCAGTGGCTGGTTGTAAAGGCATCCCGATGGGCCACCCCACTCTTAGTCATGGATCTTCCATTCTAGGTAGGAGGAAGACAATTAAAGAGCATTCTCACATTAAATAGAACATGTTCGTTCATGTGAGCCCCTAATTGCATCCTCCCCATCTGATCATTCAGCTTGCAGAGTTCTGCTTAGTAAAGCCACACAGAAGGCTGTCATCTGTTCAGGAGAAAGGCTTCAAAGGGTGTTTTAAAAAAATAAATAAATAAAACTTCTCCTCTGGTTCACATCAAAAATAAAAAGAATGTTCTTTTCTAAATGGTGCATTATATCACTAGAATAGAGAATGCACTCAATTTTTCTTTTATCTACTGATCATTTTTTAAAAGAGAGTTTTTGTTTAAAAACTTAAAAGTTTATAGGAACACACTCTCATGAGTGAATTAAATATATATATTTTTAAAACTTTAAACCTAAAATCGAAATGAGAGATATATTTGAGACATATTCAAGTCTTAATGAAACAATCTGCCTGTGATACAAATCTCCATTGTGATTAAATGTGATACCATTTGGTATCTTGACTGTGAGTGGAAAGGTAGTGTTAGAGTTTAGGAACTTTGTGAAGTCAGTTCAGTCAAACCAGCAGATGCAAGGCAGAGTAGAAAACTTCGTAAGTGCCTAAAATGAAAGAATATACTAGTTGGAAGATACCTTAAACATCATCACACAGATGGAGAATTAAGGAACACTGGAGGCAGGAGACTTGTCTAGGTACTCACAGGTTCTTAGAGGTGGAGTTACCTGGGAGTTCTAGGTCACCTGGAGGCAACAAAGATGAGTAGGACACTTTGCTGCCTACAGGGAGTTTGTCCTCTAGAAGGGAGGATAAGAGAATACAACTGCCCTAAGAGAATATAAAGGGAAGGCTTTAAGAGATAGAGAAGGAGCCAGGCGTGGTGGCTCACGCCAGTAATCCCGACCCTTTGAGAGGTCAAGGGGGGCAGATCACGAGGTCAGAGATCAAGACCATCCTGGCCAACATGGTGAAACCCCGCCTCTACAAAAAATACAAAAATTAGCCAGGTGTGGCGGCGTGTGCCTGTAGTCCCAGCTACTCAGGAGGCTGAGGCAGGAGACTTGTTTGAACCTGGGAGGCGGAGGCTGCAGCTAGCCGAGATCGAACCAGTGCACTTCAGCCTGGGCAACAGAGTGAGACTCCATCTCAAAAACAAAACAAAACAAAACAAAACAAAAAAGAGACAGAGAGAGAGAGAGAGATAGAGAAGGTAGTTTGTCTTGGAATTAGAAAAAGCTCCCCAGGGGAGGCAGCATTGAAGTTGTTGAAGGACAACAGGAGGATTCCACCAGCAGAGGTGGAGAGCAGAAAAGGCCCTGGGAGGGTAGGGGAGCATACCTGGAAGAGAAGAGTCTGAAAAAGGGCAGTGGTGGGGAAGCCCAAGCAGGAACTGCCCCCAGGAGTTTTGTGCGCCCGGAATGCAAACTATGTGAGGGGAGTAGAAGGAGGCAGGATCCCATTGCCAGGCGGAGCAGTCCCTACTGACTTATAGACAAGGGACTTGGCACCAGTTCCTTTGAGCAGGGTGATATGAATCAGAGCAGATTTTAAGAAGCTAAATGGGGCAGCCAGGGATAGAAGGCATTGGAAGAAGAGAGATGAGGGTACAGGACGTCAGGTGGGAAACTGTTCCCATGACCTGAACTAGGGGCCCAGAGATGAGAATGGAAGGGAAAATACAGTTTCGAGAGAATGCTACCAAAACAAAACCAAAAAGGCTGGATGGAGGTCAGGGATGAAAAAGCAGAGGGATAAGCAGAGGTATAGAGCTAATGGATGAATGAATGATGGTTCCAGTAACAGAAAAAGGAAACTGTGAAGAAGCGTGTTTAGGGAGATGAGGAGAGAGGATCAAAAGAGATGGTAGCTGTGAAACTAATAATCAAATGATCCAAAATGGGTCTGTTGCTGTTGTATGCAGAGAAGGAAGATGGGGAGAAGATGGTCCTAATTAGGATTATGATTATGGAGATTTTCGTTTTAGATGTCTTGCATTTAAAATGCCAGTATCTATGGAGAATTGCCTTCAAGAAGCTGAAAGGCAGAACTAGCTTCAAAAGACTAGTTGATTAGAGATCCAGGTATGGGAGTCGATTGCACAGAAATTTCAATGGGCTCCTTAGAAGAGGATGAGCCCACCAAAGGGGAGACCATGAATGAAGTGGGAACTTCAGGTAATGGGGAATAGGGAGAAGTATGTCCCTTATGTCCATCGAAACCTTTTTATTTAGTTATTTTCATTTTCCCCTCAAAATTCTAACAAGTGTTACTAATTTGGATATAAGGGGATGAATTTCAGTTTTCTTTCTTCTCCTTTAATCTATCTAATAAGAGATATTATGTACTGAGAAGAACAAAGAAATGAAACATGAAAAGGAGCAAAAGTAAAGGGTTTAGATTTGCTGCCAACTGAATATTCAGTCCTCTAAGAGTTGTCCAGACATTTATCTGCAAGACCATTAGCCAACAGATCTGGTAATGGTCAAAACCCCAGATATGCCATTGCCTCCTTTGCATGGTCAGCTGGAGAATTGGAGCAAACAGAAGCATTCTTCAAAGAAACCAAAGAGAAAAGAATTTGGTGATTTCCTTCTTGGTATCTCACCAAAGAGCTGTCTATTTCCAGCTGAATAAAAGCACAGTATGGAGGAGAAGAATGCGTTGCCTTAAAACAGATTAGAAAAGCAGTGTGTAGCCATATGCACAAAGGCCAAAAGAAACCACGCACTGTGATGGAAAGAAGGCAGATGGTGAGCTTCTCTTGCCACTCCCATTCATTCTTTCATTCATTCTCCTTAATTTTTGAGTACCTACTACATGCCAGACACGGCAACTGGCCCTGGAAATATTGAAATGCAAAATGTGCAGCTTCCAAAGCACTCTCAGGGAGACAGACAAGTCAATGATTACCCACAACCCTAGGAGAGGTGATAGAGTTATGCACAAACTGTTGTGGAATACAAGGGATGGAGTGCCCAGATACACAAGTGGATGAGACACAGCTCCACCCTCCAGTACCTCACAGTCATGATGAGACAATAAAAATGGCTTTGAAGGAGGTCTGAGAGAGGTAAACCCAGCAGTAGAAAACACAAAAGACAAAGTCCTTGACACAAGCAGACAGAAATAACTCATAATTTACATAAATTTTGTGAGAACCTACTTCATCCTAACAATGACTCTGGGAAATAGTGTTTCTTGCCCACCTCCGATCAATGAGAACACTAAGGCTCTGGGAAATTAAATGGGTTTCTTCTGCTAACAAGTAGTGGAGTAGGAATCCAAACAAGGTTTTCTAACCCCCAGACCCAATGCAGAATTCTTGTCATTGCACTGATTTAGTAGAAGAGAACACACCACACACACACACACACATGCACACACACATATGCACATACAATTATGCTATTCTGAAGTGCAGAATGGAAAGATATCATTTTTGGTTAGAGTGGTCTGAAAAGGCTTCGAGGACTAGGTGGTATCTGTGTGGAAAGGAAGTAGAATGATCCATGAGAGTGGGAAGGAGAGATGGGAGAAAGGATAGAATTGGAAGTTTGCAGAACACTCTTACAGGAGATATTTCTAATCCAACCAAGAAGATCTATGGAAGCTTTACAGAGGAGCTGATGTTTGCTACACATCTACAAGTATGCACAGGAGAGCCACAGAGGCCAGTGAGAGGCCCTCTAGGAGAACTAATTCTACAACTACTTGACCAAGTGGGGGGATTATTTGTGGGGTAACTGCAGTGCAGTACAGAGTCCTCTTGGGGACAGATAGATCCATACCATTTGATCTGTAGTCACATAAGAACAAATAATAAAAAGAAAAGACATGTTTAAGAGTGAAAGAGAAAGGCAGGGAGAAAAGAAGGAAGGGTGGATGGAAGGACAGACTGGCTTAGTAAGAGGTCAACTTTGGATTCTATTTCTGGTTCAGTTTTCATTTATGACTTCAATGCTTTAGTGTTAGTTCATTTTCTGTGAATCAGTTTCCTCATATGTGAAATAAATATGATAAATCCTAATCGAACTCACAGACTCATGAGAAGATAGAAGTGAAAACATTTTAAAAACATTACACAAAGAGGAACTATTATGTGGTCCACAGTTATATATGTGGGGTAGTGTCCGAAGAGGTGCCTGGACTAAGTTGGTCCCAGGCCACAAGGTTTTTGCCAAACATGATGCTTTGTGAATTCATAACAAGGGCTCCGAGTCACCAGATCTTAGAGCTGACCCAGTGCACTGTCTGAAAGGGGGTACCCAGTGCTGAGGCTTCAAGACATGTCCCCAGCAGATCTCCCCAGTGCCTTCCCAGAGGATTCAGAACTGCTGAGCAGGACAGCACCATCACATCAAGGCACAAGTGCCAGGGAGAGGTGTCAAACTCTCCCCACCGGCCTCCCTGGTACACACATGGACACTTACCACCTCCCTCAGCCTCCTTAAGTGTCAGAGAACTCAAAGGATTCTGTTTGATATTTCCAAGCTCATACTGAACTACTGGGCAAAATTCCAGGGGCTCTGTCCCTTCCTGGAGAAGCCTGGATGGGGAGACCACACATCCATACTGCCTGAGTCAGCCCGGCTTATGCCTGTTGTCCCGGTGTAACCATTGCTAGCACACCCTTTCACTCTCAGAAATGCCCCAGTTTGAATGAAATCTCTTTGTGATCCCCGTGGGAGGTCAACTCCGAGGGACCCAGAAACTGCCTTTTGACTGCATTTAGTACTCCATGGAGTCACCCTCATTTCTTTTTCATTCCAGGTGCATAGCGTAATGTCCATGTTGTTCTACACTCTGATCACAGCTTTTCTGATCGGCATACAGGCAGAACCACACTCAGAGAGCAATGTCCCTGCAGGACACACCATCCCCCAAGCCCACTGGACTAAACTTCAGCATTCCCTTGACACGGCCCTTCGCAGAGTCCGCAGCGCCCCGGCAGTGGCGATAGCTGCACGAGTGGCAGGGCAGACCCGCAACATTACTGTGGACCCCAGGCTGTTTAAAAAGCGGCGACTCCGTTCACCCCGTGTGCTGTTTAGCACTCAGCCCCCACCTGAAGCTGCAGACACTCAGGATCTGGACTTTGAGGTCGGTGGTGCTGCCCCCTTCAACAGGACTCACAGGAGCAAGCGGTCATCGTCCCACCCCATCTTCCACAGGGGCGAGTTCTCGGTGTGTGACAGTGTCAGCGTGTGGGTTGGGGATAAGACCACCGCCACAGACATCAAGGGCAAGGAGGTGATGGTGTTGGGAGAGGTGAACATTAACAACAGTGTATTCAAACAGTACTTTTTTGAGACCAAGTGCCGGGACCCAAATCCCGTTGACAGCGGGTGCCGGGGCATTGACTCAAAGCATTGGAACTCATATTGTACCACGACTCACACCTTTGTCAAGGCGCTGACCATGGATGGCAAGCAGGCTGCCTGGCGATTTATCCGGATCGACACGGCCTGTGTGTGTGTGCTCAGCAGGAAGGCTGTGAGAAGAGCCTGACCTGCCGACACGCTCCCTCCCCTGCCCCTTCCACACTCTCCTGGGCCCCTCCCTACCTCAACCTGTAAATTATTTTAAATTATAAGGACTGCATGGTAATTTATAGTTTATACAGTTTTAAAGAATCATTATTTATTAAATTTTTGGAAGCATCCTGTGTGCTGACACTGGTTATTTTTCCCAGTAAAATCATCTGCAAGTCTCAGGAAGATGCAGGGGGAATTGTCCGAATTGTCCAAAGTACTCCCTGGCTCCTTCTAAGGCCCACCTGTAACCCTTACCCCACCCCCAGCCAGTGCTGCAACTTCAGGAAAGGCTAACTGGTTTCAGATATTAGAATAAGTCAGGCATGATTAGCAAAGGAAGCCTGCCGGATTGCAATTTTGTTCTACATTCCAGAGCCAAAGCTACCTAATCATTGGATTACCTGCCCACCGCCTGGAAGCATGGGCTCTGGTCTCCTCCCTTGGGGACGTTAGTGGAGCCTCATCAGGAGGCAGATCACCACTGGGCACGGGGCTGCCCTGGCCTCAGAGGCACAGTCTCAGTTCTGGGGGCACTCGATAGATAGGACGAGGCTTGCACCAAAGATCTGTGCGCTGCTCATTTGTAGGGGAAGATGTGCCGTCTGGAAGAGTTGTAACAGAGTAATCTCATGAGGCCTGTCAAAGTAGATCTGGTTTCATGTTCAGCTGGCCTTAGTACTCATGGCCACTCCTCGGTTTATCCCTCAGCAGCCTCCTGCAGAAAGACTTCATTACCCCAAGAAAACATTAGTGCCTCTGACACTCTTACAACCTACTAACAGCCACAGTAGCAACTTCCAGGGGCCCCAACATTGGCCCACAGCCAAGGAAGCCAGAGATAGGAAAGAACTTCTGAAAACTTTTTTATTCTTAATTGGATGATTTCCATAAGTGACCAAAGGTGACTGGGGCCGTGAGACCTGCAGAGAAGTGGGTGGGACAGAAAGACTAAGTAAATGGAGTGAGAACCAAATAAACCGGGAGATGTGGAGGACAGGTGGGCCGGCAGAGAACAACGGCTTTCTGCTTCTCCCCAACAGGGGAAATGAAATAAGGAGGACAAGGAGAAGGCCAGAGGGGGGTGTGAGGAAGGGGAGGGGAGGACAGAGCAGCAGGAGGAGGAAGGTGTGATCTCTCATCTTTACCAGCACTCTCCAGCCTCCAGGAAAGTTAGCAACCTGGGTGGTTCTCGTGGGGCTTTGTGAATGTGTTCATCAACACTGATTCCATCCAGAGCATCTTAGACAGGAGTGAAGGTCACAGAGGGACTCCGGGGTTCGCTCCACCTAGCCTCACACAACCCCCTTCCCCTGCAACTTTCATTTTGTATTTTCCCTGAAGCCACAATTTTGCCCCAGACAGAGCAGTTGTAGTAAGACAGACATTTTCCCCTCCTAGCCGTCCTGTCTCCCCCCGAGGATGAAATGCCTACACTGGTTTTCAAGAGAACAGGCCCAAATTGTCCATCCGAGAAAAGAGCAAATGGTCTTATTCATTCCCTCTGTAACTCTCGCTGTCCTGCCCCACCCCCAACCCCATCCAAATAGGGCAAATTAGAAACCGTAGGGAGCTTTGGCATGAGAACCATTTGATTAGGGTCGAAGCATGATGAAATGTGCCCTGTTTTTTTCTGTCAAAGCTACTGCAGTTGGAATAAAGATTTATGTTCAAGAAACACCAGCTAGAACATTCTGTGCTGAGATTCTCGTTGAGATACAGGGCTCGGGAGGGAGCCCTCCCAGTGATCTATGTCTGTGACTTTTTACTGGGGTCCAATGCCAGTGGCCTCACCTATCCTAGGTGCCCCTACAAACAATTTCTGGGTGCCTTTCTTTGTCTTAGAACTGGACTTTGGACCTGGGATGTGGGGAGAGAGGAGTGGAGAGGGAGGCCTTCAGGAAGCTCCCCATCAGGAAGGTGGGCTTGTGAGCAGCTACATCAACAAAGAGGGTCCTGGAGTGCTGCCCGCTGCACTGTAAGACATTGGGACATCTAAAAAATGTCTTTGGCTCCCCTGGGCCGCCAAAAGGGAGGACCCTCTGAGGGAGCCCGGAGGCTGAGGCCCTCACTTTCATGTAGGTTGCTCTCCTGGGTGTCCGGTAAGAGGAGGGCCCCTCACCCCAGGAACACCACCACCTACCCAAAGGCAAAATCTGCTCTAGGCGGAAACGCTGGAGTCCCAGCCTGGGAGCCAATGTTTTCACACAATATAAGGGATATCAGTTTGGCTGATCAGTGTCGGAGCCTTCCAAAAACAACCCAGCGCCCGGTGGTTTCCGCAGCTTGGGCTCTGCTCCCACGCGCGGGGGAGCTCTGGCTTTCAGACCCACCCGGGCTGTCCCAGAGAGGCTGACCCGGGTCGCCAGGGCCCCAGCCACTTGAACACTTGGAGAAAACAGCTTCAAACCGCCCACTATCCTTTGCTGAGGAGCGGCAGCGGCACATTTTGCAAAAGTTTCCTTCCCGTGCCTCACTGAGATTTTTCTGCCTGGGTTCCCCAAAAGCCCAAAAGGTGAGAGCAGATCTGTCTCCCCTCGGCAGCTTCCTTTGGTGGAAGGCATCCTCCACCATGCGCAAGAAAACTAGCACCCGCCCTGGCTGTCCGCCCTGCTAGCAAGGCTCAAGCCCCGGCCTGGGAGACCGCGGGGTGCCTGGCTCTGGGGTACACTCAGTTGTCCCTCTGATGCCCTCCCCCAACCAGAGCGCCAGCCTCCCCAGCCTGATCCCCTTCCCTGCTAATAGAAAGCCCACCATGGGGACAGAGTTTCAGCAACAACGCAGCAGCTATTTTCATTTCCGTGAAACAGCAGTGTTCCTCCTAAAAGCCTTACCACTTTCTCCTCAGCATCATCCACATCATGGGGGGAGGATCCGCCCAGAGCTAGAGTAGAGGACAAAAGGGCACCCGGGTCTCGTGTCTGCTCCTTGGAGGAGAGACAGCTGGGCAAGAGAAGCGGAACCGAGTGGAAGTGTGGGCTATGGAGAACCCAGGGGCCTGGGAGTCTTTCTTGCACAGGCCTGAACGGAATAGTGGGAGGCAACGGGTGCTCAGAGTCGAGGTCACCAGCCAAACCCAGTGCCGAGGGAGCAGGCCAGTGTCATGGTACAAACTCTGGGCTTGGTGTCAGCAGAGCTGGGTTCTGGCCCCAGCTCCCCCATTTCTATCTGTGAAACTTTGGCAAGCAACAGTTCCTCTTTGAGCTCAGTTCTTGCAGCTGTGAAATGAAAATAATCATTCCTATATCCCAGAGTTGTGAGCAAGAAGCAAAACCAAGTATTTGAAAGCAAACAGTCAAGTCCTATACAAGTGTTAGGCAAAGTAATTTATTCCAAACTTAACAATTCCTGTGTTGATTATAGGAGAGAAGCAGCCATGTTGGTGCTCACTGAATATTTGTTTATTGGCACATGTATGGACTGGAGAAGGGAAACCCTCTGGTCAGTGGACATTATGGAATACAGATGTGGCATAGCCAGGCCATTATAGATAGATAGATAGAGAGATAGATAGATAGATAGATAGATAGATAGATAGATAGATAGATAGATAAGGCATAGCCTTCTTTTACCAGGAGGGTAAAAGCAAGAACAGCAGCTATTCAGCTTCAGATGCCTGAATCCGAGTTCAGGTAGGCCACCTGGATTCTAGTGATCCCAGCATAGTGGTAGGCTTTGGATTCAAACAAGTATTTCTGCTAAGGCTCTGTAACCTTAAGCAAGGTGCTTAACATCTCTGACAATTGACATATGGAAACTCTGATGATTTCTTCACCTGTGAAATATGGATGATAATAGTGCTTTTCTCAGAGGGCTGAGAGATAATTTAATGAAATAATATATATAAATATACAAAACTAGCTAACACTTACGAAGTGTATAATAAATTTTCGTTTTGAAAAGTAGATTAGCTGAGAACCCCTAAAAGCATGTTAGAATAGAGTGGAACAACTTTCCACAAGGCAAGGAAGCTTATGGACAGTTTTATAGATGTATCCTAGGTTTATTCTGTGACAAGCAATGCTAATAGTGACCTTAGCATTTATTAAGAGCTTGGTATGTGCCAGGCACCACACTAAGCACTTTATGTGGATTAGCTCTGAGCAAACCTCTGGGTTCTAAGACTGAAGACTATCTTAAGGCAAGCGGCGGGGAAGGCTGTGCTTTCTGCTTATGTGTATCAATGCCAGAGAAGTGCTCCACTGTTCTCTGGGATGTGTTTACTCCCCCAGCCCTTGGCAAGTTTATAAACCATTGGCTTTGAAAGTTTCCACGTGTCAAGCACGTGGGATCTGTTTTGCTCTAATTCACTTGGGTTTGCAACTGAAAAGCTCTGACCTTCCCAAAGTTCACCTGGGTGTGTGAAGATGGCTCAGGGGGCCCAGGGCCAAGAGTAAGTTGTGCAAATCTTCCCTCTACCACAGCAGCCTGCAGAGAATCCCTCCAACCCAGGGCTGCTCCTTAAAGTCAAGGATGCAGCACATCTGTGTTTCTTCAGCACCTGGACCCACTCTTGCATGTGGCAGGCAATCAATGTCTTAAGGAAGGGAAGACAGAACTTAGTTTCCATCTTTTTCTCTATCCCCAGCATCCCCACCCTGTCTCCTCCTATCCCCTGCACCTACCTTGTGTCAGCCATACATGCGTTAATGGTCTCAGTTGAAAACAGGGTCCTCCCTGAGGCATGTGAGGCATCTGGGTAGTTTTCAGAGGCTGGTGTCAAGAGCAAGATCAGACCATCAGGGATAAAGCTTGGCCTCACCCATGGCTTGGCTGAGTGACACTGGACAAATTACTTCTCTCTCTGCACTGCAGTTTTCTTATATGTAAAATGTAGGTAATAATAAGAGAACCTACTTCATTGTATTGTAAGGCATTTGATTCAATGTTTGGTACATAAATCACTGTATATTGAAACATATGTAAATACACAGTACACACAGCTATATACACATATATGCACAAATATAGACACAATATACAAACGTACACACACAAGGATAGTGTGTATGCATATGTGTGTGTGTATGTGTGAATAATCCCTGGAAGCTGAGAAGCAGCCAGGAAGTGCTCGTTCTACACTCACATGCACCCACACACTGACTTAAAAACACAGTGTAACATACAAA